AGAAAAGTTCTTGAGACTCTTATCTCCAATAAACTACTCAAAAAACAAAAAACAAGTGACACTGTGGTTTAAGTGGTAGAGTGCTAGCCTTGAGCACAAAGAGGTTCAGGGACAATGCCCAGGCCCAGAGCTCAAGCCCCAGGTCTGGCAAAAACAAAGAAAAACAAAAAAACTTTCCCAACACCAAAGGAATCAGGGCAGCAGCCATGCCCCATCCATGCATAGGCATTGGTTCATTCCAGCCTGAACTTCCCTTAGATTCTTTGATGGTTCTTAGATGCACTTAATATCGCCCCGGGCACAGAAATATTTTCACATAAAGTCTTTTGTTGTTGTTGTTGTTGTTGTTACTGAGAGAGAATTACTCTTAAGATTTATGAGCCACCAATGCATTTTTTTTCCTAGCTTAAAAATCTGGCCATTTTAGGGTGATAAAGCCTAGATCGGTGTTTCTCCAACACCAGCATGTATTGGAATCCCTTGGGGATCTTGTTGAAATGCAGTTTGGAGGTGGGTTGGGTCTGGTGTTGGCCCTGAGACTCTCCATTTCCCAGAAAGTAGAGAAGCTGCAGGTGGGTGGACCACACATGGGCTAACATGACCATGTGATTTCAAGCCAACCTTCCCCTTTTTATTGTTTTTTGAATTGGTACTGGGTGTTGAACTCATATTTGCTCCACTTGCTTGCTTGGCAGGCACTCTACCACTTGAGCTACCCATCATCACAGCTTTTTGCTGGCTATTTTCTAGGTAGAATCTCACAGACTTCTCTGCCCAGGCTGGCCTTAAACTTTTCTCCCGATCTCAGCCTCTTAGCTACAAGCGTGAGCTATAGTGCCTGGCTCAGTCTTCACATTTGAATTGTGTTTTCTATTTTTAGAAAACCTCAGAAACATGGTTTCTAAATGGGATAATAATTGTATGTTTTTTCTCTTTTTCAAGTATCATCTGAAGCAAGTTTCCCCATCAATACATTATAACATTTTGTTTAGAATATAATTTGACACACAGTTTTCAGCACATCCCTCATGATAAACTTAATTCATATCTGTTAGTCAGCAGAGGGCAGTAGTGAGCCACCCAGCACTGTCATCTGTCACTGGTCTAAGCTGCAGGGCGTGTCTGCACCAAGCAGTATTGTTTTCTTTTCTTTCTTTTTTTGTTAGGGTACAGTGATAATTTTTTTATTGTGAAAATACCATACAGAGGGGCAAGGTAACGAGTACATTTCTTATCAAGCTTTGTTGCCTCCTCCTTTGTTTTCCCTTACCATCCCTTCCCATCTCGCCCCTACTCCCCACCTCTCCCTCCCCACCCCCATGCCAAAGTTGTAAAGTTCGATTTTCGACATAACGTCTTGTACATCTCGTTGTTGCAATGGGTCCACCTTCCCCTCCACAAATTATAACTACATCAAATATAGTGAAAACAGGGGTTATACCGTGGGGGAGAGAAGTATTGTTTTCTAATAAAGTTATGTTTTCATTTTTTCCTCTCTCCCTCCATAGTAAAGTGATTGCTCAAATGGGCGCTTGTGAGTTACAACTTTTCCGATTTGAGTATGAACTCTGCTTGGTCTCTCATAATGTACTCTCCTGCTTTTAGCACATTGTACCATGCAAGCCCAGAACACATTCTTTCTATGATAAATGGACTTTCCCCTCCTCACGTCACCTGCTTTGTGATTTTGTCTCCTCGCCACACTATCTTTACTTTAGGCAAGTCACTGTGTCTAGACTAAGTGAGCTCTATTTGCAAAGCAGGTATAAAGTTCTGACCTAGCCAGAGATTTGACCAGGTTAAACATGGACATTGATTGAGCTGTGTAGTATCTCTGAATCCCTTCCTTCCTTTCTGTTCTGTGTTTGTGCCAAAACACAAAACAACTGACTCATCTGCTCTTCTTTGACCTTTTGCTCTTTCAGACGTTGAGGTACTTCGGAAGCAATTTGTTTGGGAGCTCTGAACATTTTGGGTCTTTTTGTTTTGTTTTGTTTTGTTGTCAGTTATGGGGCCTGGGTTATCAGGACCTGGGTGCTATACCTAAGCTTTTTCACTCAAGGTTAGCACTCTGGTTAATTGAGATAAGAGGCTCATGGACTTTCCTACCCAAGCTGGCTTTGAACTGTAATCCTCAGATCTCAGCCTCTAAAGTAGGATTACAGGCGTGAGCCACCGGTTCACGGCTAGATACATTTTCCCATATGGAATCAATTCTCCTTTTCCAAACTGTTGAACAGCAGGCTCGTGGTTGTAGGGTAATTTTTTGTTTTTTTTTTCTTTTTTGTCACAGTCACGCAGTGTGAAGTCTTCTGTGTACCTAGACTCTGTTGGATATGGGACCTATAACTATATATTGAGTTCCTACTATATAAAAATACTAATCTCTCATATCTTTCTGAGTAAATGGGCTTAGCAAGCTGCTTTGTCAACTATTCTGGGAGAACAACAAAGAAAATGAGCTATAAATAGGAATGATCATATATCCTGGTTTGTACAGGACAATCTCATTATAGCATCCCTGTTACATCCAAATGGGCAGTGTTGAAATGTAAGAGTGGGGTCTAGCTGGGCACCTGTGACTCACACCTGTAAGTCTAGATACTTAGATGACTGAAATCTGAGGATCTCTATTTGGAGCCAATCTAAGCATTTGCCCAGGAGCCTCCATCTCCAATTAACCAGCATAGTTTAGTAGTAGAACTCTAGCCTTAAGCAGAGAAAGCCAAGTGTGAGCACAAGGCCTACAATTCAAGCCACAGTACTGGTACTAGGGTCTAATATTGCTAAGAACCAACACTAGAATCCAAGCTGAGCTTAAGTCCAGTTGGCAGTTACATTAAATCTACGTCTCTATAGAAGCTAAGTAGATTTTTATGATTTTTTTTATAATCCTTTAGTTAAAATTCCATTTCTTCAACTTTTTATTTAGGTTCTGACTTGGATATTTATTTTCCATATTATGTGCAGAGTTGTGTGCGTGCGAGTGTGAGTGTGTGTGTGTGTGTGTGTGTGTGGTGGTGGTGGTGGGTGGTGGTGGTACTAGGGATTGAATTTAGGGCCTGGGAACTGTCCCTCGTTTTTTGCTATGGGATGGCATTCTTGTTACTGGAGCCACAGCTTCATTTTTGGCTTTTTTGGTGGGCAATTGGAGATTAGAGTGTCATGGATTGGCTTTGAACCACTATCTTTCGATCTCAACCTCCTGAGTAGCTAGGATTACAGGCATGAGCCAACAGTGTCCAACTAGTGCTCACATTTTGACTTACGTACTTTATTTGCTATCACCAAAGGGAAAGCAGTTCATTTACTTTCAATTATAGACAGTAGGCAATATGCTAAATTTCTTCCAACCTGGAGTGTCTATGGCTATCTTATGAGGAACTATAATAAAATTCTAACTCAAGCCAGGCTCACGTGGTTTACTCTGTAATCCTAGCTACTCAAGAGGCTGAGATCTGAGGATAGTAGTTTGAAGCCAGCCCAGGCAGAAAAGTACATGAAACTCTTATCTCTAATAAACTACTTAGAAAAAGCTGGAAGTGCTCAGTGGTAGAGCACTAGCCTTGAGCAAAAAGAATCAAGGAAGCACCCAGACCCTGAGTTCAAGCCTCAGGACTAGTACATACACATGCATATGGATTGAGAAGGCCGTATTTTCTTCAAATGGAAAGGGTCTAAGGAAACATTAATCATATTACTAAACTTGGGATTTCAATTCCTTTGCAGCAATTAAAACACCCAAACCTTGTGAACCTCATTGAGGTATTTAGGAGAAAAAAGAAAATGCATTTAGTGTTTGAATACTGTGATCACACGCTTTTAAATGAGCTGGAAAGGAACCCAAATGGGTAAGTAATTCAGAAACTGAAGTTTTATATGGCCAATTCTCTTTCCTTCTTTGTGGAATCAGCTGTGGCAGATTTCAAACCCATCCATAGTTCCCCTTCTACCCAGATGCCTCCAGCCAGCCCTCTCCAGCTGCAGATAGAAACTGTTCAGAGGGCATCAGATATTAACCTAGAGGGAACTCAGCCAAGAGGACAAACGTACTGTAATGCAAAGCACTGTGCATTTTGTGAGGTCAGTTATATGTGATTATCTAGGGGGGTTGTCTTGGTCTGCCTACATAGCAAGACCTTATCTCAAGCAAACATCATAAAGTGAGTAAACTATCAGAATTAATCAGATTCAAGGTCTATTCATGTAGATATTATAAATCAAATTTTAGAAACTATTAATTCCCAATTAGAAAATATATTCATTCAAAAGGATTTAGTGGGTGCATAGTGTGTACCCAGCTAGATGTAAGGATGAAAGCTATAAACAAAACATACAAAATGTGGAGCCACCGGTAGCTCACACCTGTAATCCTTGCTACTCAGAAGGCTGAGATTTGAGGATCCCAGTTTGAAGCCAGCCCATGCAGAAAAGTCCCTGTGAGACTCTTATCTCCAATTAACCACTCAAAACCCAGAAGCAGAGCTGTGTCTTTAAGTGGTAGAGGACTAGCCTTGAGCAAAAGAGCTCAGGGACAGGGCCCAGGCCCTGAGTAGAAGCCCCACAAACCAACAACAAAAAAAAGCTAGACGTTTAAAACTTTACATTCTAGTAGTTATATAAAAGCAACTTATTTTTAAAATGTGCAATTAAAATGACTAATATATTCTCCCTATAAGTCAAAGAAATTTTTAAAAATATTTAAATTAGGCACCATATCAAACCTTTCAAAGTTGGCAAAGATTCATCAAAAACCAATATACTCAATATGTCAACAGTCAGGTAATCAGGTCTCATTTGCAGCTAGAAATAATGTAATTAGGTAGATAATTTGGCCAGAAATATGAATATTTAAAAACTATATATTTTGACCAAAAAAATCTATTTAGAGGAATATCTAGAAAATATTCAGATAGAAGCAAAAATTGTCACAACAGATTGTCACAACAGAAAAAAATGGGACTTACCTAATTGTCCAATAGTAAGGAATCAATCCTGGTTTGTTCCAAGTACTTGGGAAGTAGAGGTGGGAAGATAATGAGTTTGAGGCCAACCTAGACTGTATAATAAGAGCCTATCTCAAAAAAGAAGAAAGTAGCCAGTCAGAATGGCTCACACTTCTAATCCTAGCTACTGAGAATTGTGGTTCAAAGTCAGCCCAGGTAGAAAGAGTGGTAAGACTCATCCCCCAATTAACCACCAAAAAAGCTGAAAGTGGAACTGTGGTTCAAGTGATAGAGCACTAGCCTTGAGCAAAAAAAAGCCCAGGGACTGTACCCAGGCCCTGAATTCAAGCCCAGAACTGGCAAAAAATAATAATAATAATAAAGAAGAAGAACATGAGGAAAGCAGGGTATATGTAGCCTAGCATGCAGGAGGTCCTAGACTTGGCCCCTAGCACTGCAAAGCAAAATATTGGCAACATGTATTTTGTTATACATGAGAAACTGCATCTAGCCAGGTAGAATGAACGCTGTAGGAGGACAGATAATATCGTTGGGAAAAATGTTCACAAAATGCTGTGATGAAAGGATAAGCTAATAGTAGAATGTGAAGTGCAATTGAAAATTTACCTGGGATACTCAACAATCTTCTAGTGAATGCACATATATTATTTTTAAATTTTTAAGTCAGATATTAAAAAACAACTAAAATGGTTAATTATTTGGGTGCTGATGGCTCATCCTAGCGACTCAGGAGGCTGAGATCTGAGGATGAAGGTTTGAAACCAGCCTGGGAGACAAATCTGAGGGATTCTTATCCCCAACTAACCACCAAAAAACCCAGAAGTGGGGCTGTGTGGTAGAGAGTGGCAACTTGAGTGAAAAATCTAAGGAAGAATGTGAGGCCCTGAGTTCAAGCCCCAGTACTGGCACACACACATGATTAATCAATTTATAGTTCACCTTTTTGGTGTGTGCCAGTATATAGTGGATGAACTCAGCCCTTTTTGCTTACAGCTGATGCTCTACCACTTGATCCATGCCTCCAGTTCCAGCTTTTTGATGGTTAATTGGGCTGGCTTTGAAGTGACATCCTTGGCTCTTAGTCTCCTGATTAGCTAGGATTATAGGCATGAGCCAGTTTGCAGCATAGTTGAAGTTCATTGGCAATAAAACTGCTGGTATTTTTTCACAATTATTATTTTATATAGATGTTGTGTAGACAATGACAGAGTCTGCCTTTATAATCAGAGCTAACTAAACAGAGGCTTGCATTCCAGTGAGAATCCTTCACACGTTCTCTCCCACAGCAGATTCTCCAGTCATATTAACACTGTGTAAGTCCATGTTATTAATTTTATAATGCAAGGTTCTGGCCATTTCTGAACTCAAGCCCCTGCCTTGCTGCCCAGTTCTCTGCCACCTGTAATCTTATAGTTCCTGCCCAGCATCCTGTTCCTACATTAATAGTTAGGATTTGAACTCTGGTGGTCTGTTTCATAGTGCTCAAAATGGCTATATTCTTTCTGCTTCTTATAAAAAAAATTTAAGCAATGTTTTCTGAAGTTTGACACTTGGTCAAAGAGGAGAGGGGTAAAGTTATATTCAAATTCAGTGAAGAAATAGACATTTCAAATGGGAAAGACTTTTTTTTTGGGGGGGGGTCCGGTCATGGGGCCTGAACTCTGGGCCTGGGCACTGTCCCTCAGCTCTTCAGCTTAAGGCTAGCGCTCTACCACTTGAGCCACCCTCCCAGCCCCAGGAAAGACTTTAATACTGAGAATTAGATACTTTCACAATATTAATTATTAGAAGAAGTAGAATCCAAGAGTTGCTTCCTGATGCCTGGTGCCAAGGGCATGACATAGTTAATTATCATCCAAAATAAGGACTACATTGGCTTCTGCGAATATACTTTAGTCATACATAGAGATGCTATAACTGAGTTATGCATAGGTGTCTCCTGATTCAATAAAACCAGATACAAAGTACAGATTCTAAATAGTTTGAAGTACCATTAAGTCTGAGTGGTGGATATGGTTGGAGTATTACAGAGATTTTTAAATTAAAGAATGCTTACAGATTTTTGAAAATAATGTAAATAACTCCACATTTGAAAGACAAACACTCAGAAAAATATTTGCAGCATATATAGCAGACTAATATACATAGAGTCTTTGTAAATTAGTAAACTAACCAATTCAAAATATGAGTATGAAATGTAAATACACAGAAGAAATGAGGTATCCACTAATCGTGAAAATTATTCAAAAAGTCATTAAACTTAATGAAAGGTAAATAAAAACTGAACTATCTTTTTTTTATTTTAACCTCAGATTGGCAAACATAACATTGGCAAAACCAAAAGTTGGCAAGATGATAAGGAGATAGGGACATCTGCACAGATGTTTGGTGGGAGTGTAAATGAGTCCACCCTTCCCAGGAGAGGGGAGTTTGGCAGGATGGAACTGCGAAGGCATCATGGCAGCAGTGATGTAATGGAAAGACCAACAGAAAAGGTCAAGGGGATGCAGTTACTGTAATTTACAGGGACAATTACATAAAGTAGAATACTCCCAGACAGAAGTTCCCAGATCCTCTCTGTTCCCCATGGAAATCACACCTGCCAATTATACTTTTGCAATGTTTTCTACACAGACTAATGATTCTGCCAGACACAAGAAGCTCACAGTTTGCCCCTTCCACAGGCCTTTATTTCCCCTGGCCTCTCTTTGGCAGTAAACATACCCACTTATACTATTGCACAATAAGTGTAGCACATGCTTGAGCATTTATCACACATTTACCTCCTCTTTCAAGTTTACCTATTTCTCTGCAAAACAAGGTCTAAGGTCTAGCTGAGATTAACATTGCAGAATCAAAATGTACCATGTGTACCCTTGATCCCTGAAATCCCACTTCTAGAATTTATAGAAGAAGATAATTGTGTCACTTCAATAAGTGAGTGATTACAAAACATTCAATAGAATTTTTCTTAAATAACAATGGGTTCAATCTGACTACTCATTGTGGGATCTAAGTAAGTTATAATACATCCATTAAATGATATCTTCCACAGCCACTAAAATATATATGTACATGTTAGTATTTGTACCTTTTTGCATAAAATGTTCCTCAAAGAGGCAGGAGGTAGAATTGTAAAGGATAAATGGATGGCTAGGCAGGTGTCAGACACTTCATGGATATATTTTTATAACTTTAAATATGAGTGTGTTTATTTAAAATTAAGGTTACAAATTAAATAGAGAGAGAGCAGCAGGCAAGCAAAAAGAAAAACAGGTAATTAAAAAGACAACATTAGCCAGACGCCAGTGGCTCACACCCGTAATCCTAGCTACTCATGAGTTTTTTTTTTGTTTTTGTTTTTTTTTTGGGTCCGGTCGTGGGGCCTGAACTCTGGGCCTGGGCGCTGTCCCTCAGCTCTTCAGCTCAAGGCTAGTGCTCTACCACTTGAGCCACAGCGCCACTTCCGGCTTTTTTCTTTTTGCTTATATGGTGCTGAGGAATCGAACCCAGGGCCTTGAGCATGCAAGGCAAGCGCTCTACCACTGAGCCACCTTCCCAGCCCTACTCATGAGTTTTTATTGTAAGGAAATGACCACTTCGCAGACCTAATCTCTGCCCTCCATGGCAGCGCCTGCGCAGAAGATGAGGCACCGCCCACTTCCTGGCCTCCAAGGAGCCACACGGCGCCATTTTCTCCCTTTCCTCATGAGAACTTGGCCTTGTCATAAGACAAGATCTTGGTACCTAGCTCAGCTCACAATTCTGCCTCACCTTCCTGTGTGCTGGCATTACTGGTGGTCACCTCAAACCTGGCCTTGAAATATTTTGAAGAAAGGAATCTGGGAGCCCCTCTATGCTGTGCTTATACACCATGACAATCCCCTTTCATTTCACTTCTGTTCTCAACCTTTGCTCCTGGAATCCTATCCCAGGAGTTTTAATATCCTTTTTTATTTTTCCTACCAGAGTTGCTGATGGAGTGATCAAAAGTGTATTATGGCAAACACTTCAGGCTCTTAATTTCTGTCATAAGCATAATGTAAGTAACATTTTCTAATGCTTTAATTCTTCATAATGGCTGTGTTTATGATCTGTTTGAAGAGCTTAAAGATAGTGGGAAATAAACAAAAGAAAGCTATAAATATGAGGGAAAGCAATTCATAATTCATATCCCTTTTCTAGTTTCTGTAAGAAGTTATTAATGTCTTATTAATTAAAAATTTTTATAAACTTAATGTTTCCTTTGCCACAATACAAGTGATTCCTGTTATTGTTGTTAAATTGGGTTAAAATAATTTTTCAGCTTGTCCATAATGTAATGATCTAACATGGCCTTTGGTTTGATTTTTTATTATATTTTTTAAGTCTTTCATTCTGTACTACAGTATTCCCCTTCCCCTTATTTATTATTTATTTATCTTGTGCCAGGCCTAGCGCTTGAACTCAGGGCATAGGCACTATCCCTGAGCTTTTTGGGGGGGTGTGGGAGTCGGGTTGTGGGGCCTGAACTCTGGGCCTGGGCGCTGTCCCTTAGCTCTTCAGCTCAAGGCTAGCACTCTACCACTTGAGCCACAGCGCCACTTCCAGCTTTTTTCTTTTGGCTTATGTGGTGCTGAGGAATTGAACCCAAGGTCTCATGCATGCAGGCAAGTGCTCTACCACTGAGCCACCTTCCCAGCCCCCTATCCCTGAGCTTTTGTGTTCAAGGACAGTGCTTTACCACTTGAGCTATAGCTCTACTTCGGGCTTTTTGGTGGTTAATTGGAGATAAGAGTCTCTTGGACTTTGGAGCTTGAACTTGGGGCCTGGACACTGTCTCTGAGCTTTTTCATTCAAGGCTAGCATTCTCCCACTTTGGGCCACAAATCCTGTCCTTCAGTTTTCTGGTGGTTAATTGGAGATGAGAGTCTCACTAACTTTTCCTTCCCAGGTTGGCTTTGAACTATGATCCCATCAGATCTCAGCCTCCGGAGCAGCTAGGATTACAGGCATAAGCCACAGGAATACAGCCCCTTATCTTGTTTTAAAATAAAAATTTCTACTGGGCGCCAGTAGCTCATGCTTGTATGAAGATCACAGTTGAAAGCCAACCAGGCAGGAAAGTTTATGAGACTCTTATCTCAAAGAAGCAACCAAAAAAGCAGGAATTGAAATTGTGGCTCAAGTGGTAGAGCACCATTATTAAAAGAAGCTTAAGGACAGCTCCCAGACCCTGAGCTAAAGCTCTAGGACCAGTTGAAAAAAGAAAAAAATATATAATTTCCTATACCATTAATATTTTTTAGAACCATAGTTATCAAACCCAACCATGAAAACAAGTCAGCTTGGAGGATCTCTTTTTTTTAAACAAAAAAAAATTTAAAACAGCTTGCAAGGCCCCAGACACTTGGAGTCAATACATCTATGATAGGACCTGAGAATTCACATTTCAAACATTTTCCTGGATAATATCAAAACTGCTGGTCCAACAACTACCTTTGAATATTATTGTGTTACTGAAATAATTTTGGATGGTTGCCTCCTGTACCTAATTTAACACGTTCTTTTATCTGCTTTCCTGTGAATTGATTTTTTTCTTTCTAATCATATTTCTAATCATATTCAGGTTTGGTTTTCTTAGGTGAGAATATCTCATATGCAGTGTTATTTCTTATTACATGAGTATCATAAGGTGTACTGTGCCTCAAATATGTGGTTGCCCTGCTTTTGATAATGTTGATATTGATTAGTAAACTCAGGAGTTATTTGATATTAGTTGGATCTCCTTCCATGTTCATTTTCCTTTCAAACTTTTTTGTTGATAGTTTTAGTATTTCACTGAGATTGGGAAATGGTAACTTAGCTGGGTGCCAATGGCTCACACCTATAATCCTGGCTACTCTAGAGGCTGAGATCTAAGGATCAAAATTCAAAGCCAGCTCAGGTAGGAAAGTGTGAGATTCATATCTCCAACACAAAGCTGGAAGTAAAGCTGTGGCTCAAGTGGTACAACACTGGCCTTGAAAAAAACAAAACAAAAAAACAAAAACCTTAGGGACAGGGCTGGGATGTAGCTCAGTGGCAAAGCGCTTGCCTGGCAAGTGCAACGTCCTGGGTTCGATCCCCAGTACCAAAAAAGAAAAGACAAAAAAAATACAGTTAAAAAAACAAACCAAACAACAACAACAAAAAAAACCCTTTTAAGCCGGGCGCTGGTGGCTCACGCCTGTAATCCTAGCTACTCAGGAGGCTGAGATCTGAGGATCTCGGTTCAAAGCCAGCCCGGGCAGGAGAGACCGTGAGGCTCCTATCTCCAATAAACCACCAGAAAACCGGAAGTGGCGCTGTAGCTCAAGTGGTAGAGTGTTCGCCTTGAACTGAAGAGCTGAGGGACAGCGCCCAGGCCAGAGTTCAAGCCCCACAACCGACCAAAAACAAAACAAAACAAAAAAAAACCTTAGGGACAGCATCCAGGTCGAGTTCAAGCCTCGGACCAGCACAAAAAGGATAAGAAAAGGCCACCAGGCATTGGTGATTCACACCTGTAATCCCAGCTATTCAGGTGGCTGAGATATTGAAGCCAGCCCAGGCAGGAAAGTTCATGAGCCTCTCTATCTCCATTTAACCACCAGAAAACCAGAAGTGGCACTGTGGCCCAAAGTGGTAGAGCACTAGCCTTGAGCAAAAGAACTTAGGGACAGCTCCTGGACCCTGAGTTCAAGCCCTACGAGCAATAAAGAAAAGAAGGGAAATGGTAACTATCTAATCTATTATTTCTTCTTCTATATTATTATCAGAATTATATGGAAAATTACTTGCCCTCAAGGACTCTGATAAAATAGAGTAAGAGGATAACATTGATGTGTCACTTCAGAGAAATACTTAAGTATCTTAGCAACCTATAACAGTGAACACTGATGAAGACAGAAGGTGTTATTATAAACAGGGATTTTATATATGTGGTATTTTCAATCCTTTGGGGTCATTGTTCTTCTTTCAAGTCCAAATTTTCCATCTTAAGCCAGTGGCACTTACTGAAGTTGGCCTGGGTGCTTTTGATACATCAAAAACTTTGGAAAAAATATGTCTTTACCTTTTGAGTTGGTGCCTAGACAAAGAAAGTGCCAAGGCAACGGTTCAGACTACCATATGGTCATTTTGGATGCCAGCATAATATCTTAACATGGTAGTCAAGGATTGCTGAAAAAAGAAATATAGGACGTAAAATTAAATGTCAGTATTTAGGAGCCTAGTTTTCTTGAGTTTTATGAAAGTCAGTGAAATTTTCATTAGAATAAATCAAAATCCTTCATTTTCTATTAGAGGGATATTGTTCACAACCTACCTGTTTGGGTTCTTTAATGCAAATTATGCTTTTAGATTCTTAGTAAAGATGGAGGAGAGTTGACTCCATACCTATGTTGCTTCCCACCATACTCTAGAAGATAACAAGTTGACTTAAGGTTGACATAGCAATGTTCTAAGTAATTAAAATAGTTTTGCAAAAATGATGCTTAGAGCCAGCACCAGTGACTCATGCCTATAATCCCAGCAACTCAGAAGGCTGAAATCTGAGGATCATGGTATAAAGCCAGCCTGGGCAGGAAAGTCCATGACTCTTATCTCCAATTAACTACTAAAAAGCTGGAAGTGGAGCTGTGGCTCAAATGGTAGAGCACCAGCCTTGAGTGAAGAAGCAAAGGGGCATCACCCAGGCACTGACTTCAAGCCCCAGTACCAGCACACAAAATAAATAAATAAAAATAGTAAGTTTTAGAAGTGGAGTAGAAATCTTAATTTTTTTAAATTTTTATCCTTATGCTATAGTAAATCTCTATGCATCCATATTTTTATCTGTTCTCTAAGATGAATGCAGAAGAGAAAAATCAAGTCATATATAAGTTCTTACAATAATAGATCTGAAACCTTTATATTTCTTATTTTTAGAGGAACTCTCGTGTTACTCTCAAAGAATAGAAAAGGCCATCTGACCCAATGGTGTTGTTTGAAGATGCCCAGCTTTCCACCTAAGGATACCTGGTGTAACTATTATCTCCAGAGTTGTGATCCTAAATAAGACAATAAAGGTTAAAGTAGTAAGAGATTAAGGCTGCTCAAAGTGTAGCTGATAGAGATCAATTGGGAGCTCATTAGAAATGCAGAATCTCAGGCCCACTCGTTCATCTGCTGAAGTAGAATCTGCATTTTAGCAAGAGCTACAGATGATTGGTGGGCACATTAAATTTTTAGAAGCAATGGGTTTAAGAAAACACCTACTCATTTTGTTCAGTTTTACCCTGTAACACTGCTAGAGTGAGATAGCTGAAATGTTCAGTTTAATGTCATTTTGACTCCATAGATTTTATATTTGATACATTGATTAGGGAAAACAAATTTCATAATAGTAAAACCACACTGATTTCTGAGCTATGGATGTACCAGGCTGGAGCACCCATCAACATCTTCCTGATATTCATGTTTTAATTGGCAAGAATGCATCTTTTCTTTCTTCTTCCTTATAAGTATCAGTCCCTAAAGTTCAAAGAGGACCACTTGGTCAGACAAAAAATTATTTCTTTCTTAGTCATGGCATATAAAAAACAATTTCTGGTATGAATGTTTCCAGAAATTATTCTTGGGGAAACAAAGGAAGAGGCAACAATGCTTGATAAGAAATGTACTCATTACCTTGCCCATGTAATTGTAACCCTTCTGTATGGTATTTTCACAATTTAAAAAAATAAGATTAAATTTAAAAATTATTCTTAAGGCTGAATGCATGGTTAACATGGACATCAGCAATGCTGAAACAAAAAGCTGGTTCTTAGAAAAAAAATTAATAAAATTGACAGGCCACTAGCAAGATTGACAAAGAAGAAATGAGATTCAAATCAATAAAATCAGAGCTGGGACTGGAAACATCACAACAAACATCCAAGAAGAAATCCAAATGATTATAAAAGACTACTTTCAAAAATCTATACTCAAAAAAGAAGGAAAATCTAGCAGAAATTAACAGATTTCCATTGACATATAAACTGCCTAAGCTGACCCAAGAAG